TAAATTAAAAAAAAAAAAAATTAAAAGAAAAAAATAATAAAATAAAAAGTAAAATGGTGATGCATTTGAACACTGAATTCAGGGCTGTCCTCAGTCACAGTCCTCGGCTAAGCTCCTTAGCAGAGAAGTCCTACCTAGCCAGTCAAGTTCAGCATTGTGAGGCCCCAGGGATGAATGTTAAAGAGTCTCTCAAGGCCTTGCCGATAAAACCCTAAAAAGACCAACAGGAAAAAACCCAAATGCCTAGCCATTCCATGTGAATTGGTGAGTATTCTGAGGGTAAGACCCTTATTGGCCCATGGCAGTACCTAAGTTCCAGAAACAACAAATACTGCTCTGTGGAAAAAGCAAAATGTTAAGTCTGCGGGCCTAAACTTGGCAATCACACTTTAGAATTTACTTATAAGTCAGCTGTTTGAAACTTAGAATACACCCATAGATTCTAAAACCCATCAACAGCACTTAGTTTCCAGTCTAGCCTCCAAAGCCTGTTTAGCCTATTATGTACAAAAACATGGTAATATTCCAGCTGTCCTAATCACATTTCAGTGGGGAAGCCAAGTCAAAATCCCAAACCACAACAATTAGAAGTATTTCTCCTGGGGCGTCTGCGTGGCTCAGTCGATTGAGCGTCTGACTTCGGCTCAGGTCATGATCCTGTAGTTCGTGAGTTCGAGCCCCGTGTCAGGCTCTGTGCTAACAGCTCAGCGCCTGGAGCCTGCTTCAGATTCTGTGTCTCCCTCTCTCTCTGCCCCTTCCCCACTCATGCTCTGTCTGTCTCTCAAAAATGAATAAAATTTAAAAAAAGTTTTTAAAAAAGAAATATTTCTCCTTCTCAGCTCAAGTGGTCCATGACGGTCCCAAGAAAGCAGAAGGGCCAAGGTAAGTGCAACTTCAGCCCAGTAGCTTCCTAAACCCCCAGTCCTCAGGGCTGGTTCCTCCTGCTCTAGTTGTCTTGACCTGGGGAACAAGGGCACTCGCCAGGCAAGGGTTGGAGGGCAAAAGGGCCATGACTAACTCTGTCTCGTCTAGCACCTGGAGGCATGGGCTGAAAAAGAGCTCAAAGATGTTCAAGTTAAAATAAAAGCCTTTGGCCTTATTTTTCAAACCACTCTTGTCTGAAAGTCTAAAAACTAAGTGTTTATGTCATTACAGGATGAAAGCTGTGACAGGCTGAGTCTAATACTGTATAACCCTTTCTGAGAGGGCAGAGTCCCTAACTGCTCTCTTGCCACATCTCTGCAAAGCAGCGACCAGGCACACTGGTGGCTGAACAACATGGTCCTTTCTGTAAAACAAACAAAGGCCAAAGCTGTACATTTGTGCATGTGCACATATGTACCCAGACAGCAGTCTGGAACGGTACACGCTGGCCAGCTAACGGTGGCCACTTCTAGGAAACAGAATGGGATGGGAGAGTAAAGCAGCAGTTTTACATTTCACCTTCTGAATTTCTTTTGAGAAGTACATTTTTTTTAAGTTGATTTATTTATTTTGAAAGAGAGACAGTGGGAGTGTGGAAAGGGGCAGAGAGGGAGGGAGAGAGAAAATCCCAAGCAGGCTCTACACTGTCAGTGCAGAGCCTGACATGGACTCGATCTCACAACCCTGAGATCATGACCTAAACCGAAACCAAGAGTCGGCAGCTTAACCAACTGAACTACCCAGGTGCCCCAAAAAGTATATTAAAAAAAAATGCTTTATGTATATTTTACACATGTAACTCAAAAAATACTTGAAACTATCACAAGCCATTTTAAAAACACTTCAAGATGGTAATTTCCCTGAATATAAAATGTGATCATAGAAATAATCAGAAATTTAAAATATACTTGGACAGACTCAAAAGAAAATGACCAGCAGGTTCAGTAAACTACAGCCCACGGGCCAAATCCAGTTCAACAGACAGATCCAGAAGGTAAGACAGGTTTTTACATTCATAAAGGTTATTAAAAAAGCAGAAGGGAACATCTGGGTGGCTCAGTCAGTTAAGTGTCTGACTCTCGACTTCGGCTCAGGTAATGATCTCGTGGTTCATGAAACTGAGCCCGGCATTGGGCTCTGTGTTGACAGTGCAGAACCTGCTTGGGATTCTCTCTTTCCCCCTCTCTCTGCCCCTCCCCTGCTTGTGCGTGCACTCTCTCTCTCTGAAATAAACTTAATTTACTATTTGCTTGGTACAGAAAGTCTGATGATCCCTAATTTACACCAATAATACTCTTTTCAAATATAGTTGTAAATTCTCTTGGAAACACCTTCAAAATCACTTTTAAACAATACAAATTAGTCACATTATTTAATAGCTTACCTTTTTTATACCCCCTAAATTCACAGCAGTATAAATTAACTTGTTTAGCCACCCTAACCACCAGAGTTGGCTCAGAAGACGTGATTTCCTAAAATCAAATTCAGCCCCAAGATGGAAAGGGGCATTCTCTGTTCTAGCATTCAGGAACCTAACCCCTTACACGTGGTTAAAATGCACAAGGACGTGAGAAATCAAACTCAGAAGAATTCTCTGAGCAGCTAACAATGATTTTTAAAATCTAGCAGTGACACTAGTGACACTAATCTAGCAGCAGATCAGTTTAATAAATGATTTGCTAAATGAAGGAAATAGATCATCTTTATTCTGAATGAAATTTGTATTCTAATCTTACGTTCTAATCTAGAGCCCTGAAAGAGGGAGAATACTTCATTTCGATTAACAAAGACCCTAAGAAATATATTAATCAATTAATTTAGAACTGGAAAAATAATTTATCCCGTAAACATGTGTGAACTTTCTACATTAAACCAATGGTTCCATATAATGACAATTCACAAAGTTCATGCTCATATTTAGAATTCTCAGTCTCCACTATGTACTTTTAACAGTATGCTATTCAGAACTAAAGTTTCAACTTCAAAATTGAAAGAACATAAAATACAGGCTGATTTGTTTAACAGTCTTTTAACCTACTTAATTTGAAATGAAAGCAATTTAGAACCTGGTATTGCACAAAGTGTTTTACAAGGACAGAGTATCAACAGAAAGAAGATGATCATCACTGCCGTGATTTAGGGAACAAAATGAAAACCGCATTCTCACTTCCCTCTGGAATACATTTTCCTACCCAAGTATGACACAGAAGATACTCTACCTCAATGTCCTGGAGGCTGAATTCCTTCTGATCTGTAAAGTTTGCGGCCCCAGCACTAAGTTCCATCAGCATCTTGGCGATCTCGGGCTTTATGGCTGAAGTCAGCCGACTGGCTGCTTCCATGACGTGCTCCTGCACATCTTTAAGCTGCATGGCTGCCTTGGAGTAGTGAGAGTTCCTAAACACAGTGCTGAAGAGATCCGTGAGGAAAGTACTGGCACGGCAGAAGACGTTGAGGGCATCCAGGTACTTGGAGATGCCCTGCTGGATGTCGGCGATGGGAGTGGAGTGGGGCATGGCGTGGTGGCAGCTGCCCGCAGCGGTCAGGCTGCCCAGGGGGGCGGTGGTGGCCGTCGACGCCAGGGGAGCACTCAGTGCTCGGCCCAGCTCAGGCATCGGGTACTGCTGGTGCTGCTGCACCTTCTGCTTGGACCCGCCAAGCAGGAAGCGCCGCTTGTAGTCCATTTTACTGTCCTGGGCGCTGCAGCAATACATGCGGGAGGGGTGGCTGTCCCAGTGACCGTGAGCGGGTCAGGGTCCTGATTCTATTTTCTTTCCCCCCAGAACTGTAGCTAGGTATAAAAATAGTGGAGTTCTGCAAATCTAAGTTTTAAAAAAGGCATTTCCATGAGGCAGGTGACCATGTGACCTAAAGTAGATGCAAGAACGACAGGTTTATGTAATTAATATTTTCAGTGTACGCAGGACCCCTGACCAAAAATAAACATGTGTCCAAAATGCTGTATAGGAACTGTTAGCATTCCACTCTCTTAATAAAAAGATATGCTTGCCGAGAAAAATGCTTACTTATAATTGCTTTGCAAGAATATTTTGGTACTTGTATTTACAATGGCAGAAAAATAACTTAACTTTTAAAAAATGTAATATAATGTAATATAATGTATCTTCAATATACCAGAAAAGTTAGAACCCCCAAACCCACAAGCTGATCAACAGCAATTTAAAAAGCAGTCCAGTTACTTCACACTAGGTCCTGAAGAAGGAAGATCAAACCTCTGCAGAATGTTGACAGAGCCTGCCTGCCAAACCCATTCACCTGCAAAGCTTCTTCTCAATGCGAAACATTTCCAAATTTCCTTTGATGTTTTCTGAAAACAAGTGTTTTTTTAAAAAATGGCATTTGTTATTATAAGTCTCCTCCTCCTTTCTTTTTGTTTGCTGAGGTAGCAGTTTCCTTGTAACAGTAATAAGAGGTGCTTCCAGACTGGGCTGGCCCTCAATTGTAAAGTCTGAAGCAAGAATGCGCCGATATATTTGTAAGGCCTCTAAGTCATTTCCTGTGAGGGGGAAAAATAAGATAAAGTTAGGAAAGTTACAGGACAATGAGGAATTCTGAAACATTAACTCGTGAAATGCTAAAATCCACAAAGGCGGGCTATAAGTAAGAAATCACAGACAACCTTACAAAAGCAGGTAGGGGAGCTAGAGTTGAACTATGACATGGTGACTATTAGAAAATTCTTCAAGTTGTACAAAAATAGTGCAACCAGGAAGGTTTGATTCCACACCAACCACTTCAAAGCTGAGGCTAAAAGGGCCTGGATTTGTGATGGTATTCGGCATAACCCTTGATTCCTCCCCAAAGAGCTCATAAATTTGCAAGGGGATCAGGAGAGTATCCAGACCACGGTGAGGATGGTCAACAACTACAGCAGTCATAAGACCTTAAGGGGGACTGGAAAAGAGAGTGAGGAGCAAAAACAGAGAGATATCAGAAGGTTGCTACAAAGAAAATGTTCCCGTGAGGTAGCCCCTGACCGAAGGATAGGTTTTCACAAATGCAAAGGGATGGGTGGGGTTCCCCAGCTCAAAGGACCACCAGAGCAAAGGCCCTGAAACAGGACGGCACAGAGGGCATTCAGGATACTCCAGCTGGGCGGAAGCGCAGTGCACAGACAGAGCCTGGTGTGGTGAGTGGCTGACAGGAGGTCTGCCGACAGGATTCCCCTTGTCCCCACCTAGGTTCCCCTCTGGATGTTCAAAGGGAAGCCTGGCGGGGTGTGTGCTGGTTCTCATACCCTGGGGCACCTTCTGTAGAAACCCCGGCTCTGCACAGGTGTAAATAGCAACATCTGGGCTTCTCTGGTTACAGTTTCTGGTACCTTTAATGTTTATTTATTTTTGAAAGCACAGAGCACAAGCTGGGGAGGGACAGAGAGAGAGAGGGAGACACAGAATACAAAGCAGGATCCGGGCTCTGAGCTGTCAGCACAGAGCCGGCCCGACACAAGACTCGAACCCACAGACCGCGAGATCATGATCTGAGCCGAAGTCGGATGCTTAACCAACTGAGCCACCCAGGCGCCCCTCTGGTCCTTTAACAGTGAAGTAGTGTGACTCTTCTCAAACAGCTAACATCAGGGCTCACATTTGCCTGAACTATCTGTTCTCCCAAATGTAACAACAGTCCAAGTCTATTTTACCGAGTGTTATACTTAGTCCCTGTTAAACTACGATCTCTGAATATAGTTTGGCCTACTTATTGATAAGTAGGTTTCCTTTCTTTTCATTTTACTTTTTTGTTGATAAAAAAAATACAAGTCACACTTTGTCGCTCATCTTGGCCAACCACCACGCCTTTACAATTGCACAAGGAACGGAGGAAGGTACGGAGGCTAAAAGAGCAAGAGAGGAGAGAAACACACATACACCCTAAAGGTGTAGCAACTCTAAGCCAGGTAGCATGTAAGTACAACTAAACTGGCTGCCATTTGCAGCTCTGTGTTCAAGAGAATCTTAGCTCTTAAAAAATCTGGGGCGCCTAGGTGGCTCGGTCAGTTGAGCGACCGACTTCGGCTCGGGTCATGATCTCACAGTTTGGGAGTTCGAGCTCCGCATCAGGCTCTGTGCTGACAGCTCAGAGCCTGGAGCCTGCTTCAGATTCTGTGTCTCCCTCTCTCTCTGCCCCTCCCCCACTCATGCTGTCTCTCTCTGTCTCGGAAATAAATAAACATTACAAAAAAATCTCATAAGCTTTTTATTTATTTTTTTTATTAAATTTTTTTAATGTTTCTTTATTTTTGAGAGAGAGAGAGACAGAGCATGAACGGGGGAGGGTCAGAGGGAGAGAGAGACACAGAATCCGAAGCAGGCTCCAGGCTCTGATCTGTCAGCAGAGAGCCCGACGCGAGGCTCGAACCCACGAGCTGTGAGATCATGACCTGAGCCGAAGTCGGACGCTCAACCGACTAAGCCACCCAGGTGCCCCTCATAAGCTTTTTAAGAAACAACATATCAGACAACTACTTGTAAGAAATGTTCCCAAATGTTCTTTTTTCAAATTTATGACAATAAGGAAATCCTATCTATCCCTACCAAAGTACTCTATTATAACTGATGTAGCTTTACAAATTTTGATGTACAACAGAAGTCCTCAACAGGAATGCTGTTTACACAGAAACCATGTGGTCTATGAAAGAAAATCATCGCCTTGTGCTGGCTATAGTGAGCGTCTTGCGCAGTTCTGAGGAGCACTCTTTGTTCTGTGTGACACACGGGTGCCTGTGGCTCTGACAGTCCACCCCCATTCCTCTGCTAGTTGGTCCTAAAAGGCCAAGAAGACCCATATACTTACCTAATTTTAAAGAAAGCATCATAAATAGTTATACTCTTTTTTCACTTTATGTATTTCCAAAATTTACTTGAATCAAACTTATAATGCTTAAAGATACACTATTTCTCACCAAATTCATCTACAAATTCAAAATCAAAATCTAAACCACCTTTTTTTATAGAAACCAGCAAGCTGATCCTAAGATTCATATGGAAATGCAAGGGACCCACGATGCCCAAAACATGTATTAGAAAAAAATATGTTGTTGAGGAGCCTGGTGGCTCAGTCGGTTAAGCGTCTGACTTCGGCTCGGGTCATGATCTCACGGTTCATGAATTTGAGCCTGGTGTTGGGCTCTGTGCTGATAGTTCAGAGTCAGGAAGGATACTGCTTCGGATTCCGTGTTTCTGTTTCTCTCTCTCTCTCTCTCTGCCCCTCCCCCGTCTGCACTTGCGCTCTCTCTCTCAAAAATAAATACACGTTAAAAAAAAAAAGAAAAAAATACATTGGAGGATTCACACTTCCTGATTTGAAAAACTACTATAAAGCTATAATAATCAGTGGAGGACTGGCATGAGGAAAGACAAATCAATGGAAATAGATAAACATTAAAAAAAACTTAAAAAAAAAGAGCAACAAACAAAAACAATACAAGTATGAGCAACAACGTGGAGAACCTAGAACTCTCATACAGTGTTGGTAGGAATCTGAAATGATGCAAACCACATCAGTCTGGATGCAAACCGTCTGGCAGTTCCTCAAAATGTTAGAATTGCCATATGACCCAAAATTCCACTCCTAACTACGTACCCATGAAAACTGAAAATACAAGTTCATATAAAAACTTACACATGACAGCTAAATAAAATAAGTGAAAAACTTATACACAAATGTCCACAGCAGTATTATTTGTAAGAGCCAAAAAGTGGAAACCACCCAAATGTCTATCAACTGGTAAATGAATAAACAGGATGTGGTATAGCCATACATATCATTCAGCCATAAAAAGGAATGAAGCACTGATAAATGCTACAATGTGGACAAACCTTGAAAATATATGGTAAGTGAAAGAAGCCAGACACAGAAGACCATACAATGAGAGATTCCACTGACATGAAACATTCAGACAGAGCAAATCTACAGAGATAGATAAAAGTAGGTTAGTGGTTGCCAGGAATCAAAGACACATAGAGAATGGGAAACGACTGCTAATTAATACAGAGTTTCTTCCTGGGGTGATAAGGATGTTCTGGAACTAGATGGTGGTGATAACCATACAACTTTGTTAATACAATAAAACCCACTGAATCACACACTTTAAAATGGTAAATTTTATGGCATGCGAATTATATACCAATAAAAAAGGAGATACAGGAAAACATATATACCACTGGCTTCCAGAAATGTCTATTTAGGATAGATGAACAAAGGTCTGATAGGCTACATCTGAAAAATGACCCACTGGTTCCTGGATAGATCTGCAGCACTGTGGGTAGTTACTGACTAACCAGGGTGGTGATCACCTGGGTGTTTATTTGGAGGTAAAAAACTAAGCACTGTTGTTATAATTTGTGCATTTTTCTAAGTTCAGCAAAAAATTAAAGGAAGATGGGGCACTCTGGTAGCTCAGTCGGTTAAGCATCTGCCTCGGTTTTGATGATCTCACAGTCGTGAGACTGAGCCCTGCATGGGGCTCTGAGCCGGGCGTGGAGCCCGCTTAAGATTATCTTCTCTCTGGGGCGCCTGGGTGGCACAGTCGGTTAAGCGTCCGACTTCAGCCAGGTCACGATCTTGCGGTCCGTGAGTTCGAGCCCCGCGTCAGGCTCTGGGCTGATGGCTCAGAGCCTGGAGCCTGTTTCCGATTCTGTGTCTCCCTCTCTCTCTGCCCCTCCCCCGTTCATGCTCTGTCTCTCTCTGTCCC